TATATATATATATGATGAAAATTTTGTTCTTTCTTCTTAATCTTATTGCTGTTGTAAGGAATTATGCTTTTTTTTTCTAATCATTGATTATTACATTGGTGAGACAAATTAAAAGTTGTTGTTTTTTTTTTGTCTATTGATTATTGTCACATTGAAGTTTTTTTAACTTTTTTTTTTCTTTGGTTTTTCTCAGCACCTCTTCTCTTTCTTCTAACAATTTATGCATTCAGAAACGCGGCTTCTGAGAAATCGTTAATTTCTGTTGCATTTATTGGTGCTCATTGGCATAGAAAAGAAGCTTTGTTTTGCTTCTTCTGTTTCTTTGATGATTTAATATATTTTTTTTTTTCATTATCTGATACTGGATAATGACATCATGCGAGAAAATTTAGCGAATGTTTCAATTTGTTCTATTGTGGGTCCTTAACAGTATAATGATGATAGGTTTTATGGTTTAGTTTCATAATTTGAATTGACTGTGTGGATAATTGCTTCTTAAATATCATTAATAATGAATAATATTGAAGAAGAAAAAAATTTTTAAAATATTTTTTTAAGCAGAAAAGTAACAGCTATAACTGTAAATAATAATGTTATTTGTGTTTAACAGGAAATTCTGCTTTTTGTCTACTTCTAAATTTCAATTCTTTTGTTGTTGTTGTTGTTATTTTTGTCTGCAATTTGAAATAAATATTCTATTTTAACCATATGAGGTTTTAGAATTTTTAAGTACAATATATATGTATCATAACGACAAATTTAAAGAACTAAGTAATTTAATATGTTTATCGGTTTTAGTCAGAGCAAAGGAAAAAAAATTGAGAGAGAAAATGATTGTGCACTTAACAGTGGTATAAAAGGATTATTGTGAAGCTAAATTTTTGAAATGTTCAGTTTAAATTACTCAATTCGGCGTTATAAACATAGTGTATTTCTTTCTTTGCTTTTAGATGTTTTTGATTCTCTTTTATCTATATTGTAAATTCTACTGCAGTTTTTTCTGCTAGGGAAAAATCTGGTGTGCTGTTTTTAATTTTTTTAACTTTTAAACGTGTACAATTTTTTTTGACATTATTTTCAGTTAGGTGTTTATAAAAGCCGCTAACTAAAAGAAGGCTTATGATTGTTGTTTGATTCATTCTGCAACATATTAATTATCTTTGGGTAAGAAAATGTTGAGAACGGGTCAAAATGTGTAAGTCTGAAAATGAAATGGATAAAGGGGTTTATAAAGTACGTATCAAATTTGTGCTTATTTGCAAGTATAGTCTTAATTTTTATCAGTTTTATTCTTTTTCTTCTTCTTCTTCTTTTCTGCTTCCATCGATTCACCTCCTCTTCTCCTTTTCCTATCTTTTCCCTCTTCTCTTTTTTAATTGTGGTCTGTCAAAAGTCATTGAAAATGAATGAGGAATCAACCCAAAATTGTTTTGTTAAACATTGATTTGGCAATGTTCAAAGAAATATTTCATTTGCATCTAAGCCTGGTACAGAACCATTGAAATTTAAATCCAGTATTTGGCGACACTTAGTGTTTTTGGTTTAGTCGTCATCAACAATGTTTGGATGATAGGAAAGAAGAGGGAAAGAAACCAAGAAAAAGTGTGCGAGAAAAGGACGCTAAAAAGTTATCATTTTGTTTGAAGATGTACGATTTGGGCATTTTTTCTTTAAGCTTTTCACGTCATTTTTCTTCTTTCTTTTTTTTAGCTCTTCTGAAACTGATTTTTTGGTGATTCCCACATGAAGTGCAATAAATTTTTTTTGCTGTTTTTGCTGTTTTTGTTTTACTTGCAACATATTATTGTTGCCGGAAACTGTTATTTCTTGTTTTTTTTTTTTTTCTGAATTG